GGTTCATTGAACCACAATACCAATAAGTGATTAATAAAAGTCAAAAGACCAAAGAGGTCACCTTAATACCAAAAAAAGAAATAAAAATATTATATTTATTAATATTAATTCAATATGTAAAATGTCAATTTGTTTATTATTATCTATATTTTAATAATATGCCTTATCAATATGTAAATATACCTTATCAATATATAAATGTGCTATATCAACAACAATTTATGAATATTCACTATAACAACTACTATTTGTTTTTTATAATCAAAATATTCCTAAAATACCAAGAATTCCTTGAATACCAAAAATACCAAAAAGACCTAAAATTCCAAATTATATTGCTGCATGTGGTTGTTTTGGTAATGAAAATTATGATAGAAATAATCCTCAGTATTCATTTCAAAATAAATTAGTACAACTATGTTTAAATCCTAGATTAATAAAATCAATTAGAGAATTGAGGTTTTGGTATATTGAAAATAATAGACAGTACCACTGAATAGTGGAATTGGATTACAACTCCCACCAAAACAACCACCTTCTATACCACCAAAACCTTCACCTTCAATTCCTCCAAGACCTAGAAATAATGGAAATGGTAATAGAAAAATAATAATATTCCACCTAATGAAATAAATTTACAACTTATAAGAAATTTGCAAAATCAGTTTCAAAATTTACAAAATTAATTTCAATGATGTGATCAGAGATTATTTAATTTAATTAAACAATCAGAAATCTACTTAGAAACTATATTAGATCGTATAAATAAAAATATTAACACTCATTATACAAAAACAAATGATAATATTTTTAATCATTTCAATCAATTAAACCAAAAAATAATTATAGCTGATAAAACTTTAAATGATCATGAACAAAATATTAATCAAATCAGTACTAATATAGATCTAAGATTTATTAATTTAAATAGAAATATTAATAATAGATTTAAATAATAATAATCAAAAACATAATCTTGAATTTAATTATTTATTTCAAAGAATCAATAACAATAATCAAGAAATAGGAAAATCTATAAATCACTTTAATGAACAAATAGATGATATTAATCAAAATATTTGTAGTATAAATTTTGATAATATATATTTAGATACTTATTTACCAAATTTAGAAAATTTATATACTCAATTAATAACAAGAAATAATAACAATTTTGAAGAATTATTTAATAATCTTCAAAATGATATTAGAACTATAAATTTAAATAATGAATGTTTACAACAATATATAGCAAATTTTGAAAATATACAAAATCAATTAACCACAACAAGAAATAATTATAATCTTGAAGAAACATTTAATAATTTTAGAAATAATATTAGAGAAATAGTATTTAGACAATTAAATAACAATCAAAGAGAAATATTATGAAGAATTATGAGAATTAACCAACCTAAAAGAATGAGTATTACACATAGAAGAACAATCAATTATCAATTACCACAAATAGAAAATACATCTAATATAATAATGAATAAAATGCAAATACATTCTCATAGTAGTAATCCTTTAGGTCAAGCTATATATAATCCTAATAGTAGTGGAAGTATAACATATATTACTGAAAATATAGTTGGTAATACACATAAATTAACAGATGATGAGAATGATAATGAACAAAATATAAGACCAAGATTTAGATCAAATGATGATAATTCAATAAATAATCAAATAAATATTGCAATGAATGAACTAATAATATAATTAATATAACATTTATAATTATTTTTTATTAATAAAATATAATAAATATTTAAATAAAATAAATAAATAAATAATATAACTAAATAAATAAATATATTATAATATTTTAAATAAAATTTAACATTTGTTTTGTCTTTGTCTTACTACTTTATTTTTAGATTTTTTAATAATAGGTTTAAAACTTCTAAAAAGTGCATCTATATTATCAATATGACCAATACTTAATTCAGCATCAATTATAATATCATTTTTACCCATAATATCATCTATTCTATTAACAATTTCAGAATATTCTATATCTTCAAGATTATCAAAATCTATATTATTACTAATTTTTTCAAGTATTTTATCATTATCTTTTTTCAAACTAGCTTCAATCCAACAATGTATTTTATATTTAATAATAAATCTAAATTCTTTAGATTTACATATAATATTAATATATTTTCCTTTAAATTCTTCTTTTTTCATAATAATTAATAACATATTTAACATTGATCTAAATGTATCATGATCTTTAAATTTCAATTGTTCAATTCTTTTTCCATCTGATCCTCCTACAACAACATATGTTATAGTAATTTCTTCATTATTTACAAGTTCTTTATTTTGTAAAGTTGTAAAAAATATATTAACTTTTTTTGTAATATTTTCTCAGTATCATTTAAATCTGAATTTACATATTTTTATTTTTGATTTATTTTTCTGTTAAAATCCTTAATAGCAATAGCATCATTATTAAATAATAATAGATTGTAATATAATAAATATGTATTTTCATAATCTTGTCTTTCATAAATATCTCCTGTATCAGAACAAAGATACTGAATAATATCTTTTTTAGCCATTGTTTTATTTTGATCAAAATAAAAAAAATCAAGCTTTAAATAAATAATTTAATTAATAATAAATTATTAATACATTATTATTATTTAAAGCTTGATTTTTTTTATTTTTAATTCTTTATGGCAGACTTCAATATTGATGAACTTTTCGAAGATGAAAATCATTCAAAAAAACAGTAAATAATTAATATTTGCATTATTATTATTTTAGTAATAATATTA